ATTTCTCATGATAGGAGAACACTAGACATTTCACAGATACTTCAGAATTTCTCCTTGGAACATCATACAATGAAACTTAAAAAATTAACAATAAACACTTATATTTCCACATAGTCTGTGCACCTCCTTTCCTCATCCCTCGCCCTGTCATTATAACTTGGCAAGACTCTCAGTTTACCATTCACGAATGTCTTTTTCCCTTCTTGTTTTTTGCTTTAAAATTGTTTAGCATTTATTTATGAAAGCTACAACAATACATACAAGAATGCTCTCTTTTTGATTCCTACATGCACTTGCTGTATTAAAACAAATTATGTGTTTATTGTTTGCTTTTAAAATCAATTCACTAGAAATGCATTAGAGATCTATTATGTGCAAGAAAGGTATTAGAGGGATGCTGAGGTTTGGCAGTGAGTGTGAATGTATAAGGGATAAATGCATAAAATATGATCCCTTCTACTAATTCAGGAATAAACCAAGTACCTTTGTGCATCTGGCTTCCTCATATTGGAATGCCATTCTCCTATTCTCTAACCCCTGGAATCTCCACATCCTTCAGTTGCCTCCTTCTCTCTGAAGTCTTTCTGGAATTTTATAATCAAAGTTAATTACCCAGCTGTACTCTCAAGAGGTTATCATATGTCTATATGGCATTAATCATTTCGCCCTTTTTAATTATTGTTTTTGGTTTTATGTCTGATTTGACCCATTATATCTGTGCTGTGGCTATTCAATTTAAATTCAAGTGAAATAGTATTAAGAGTTCAGTTCTTCACCTGTACTAGCCACATTTCAATTGCTAAATAGCCCACTTTTCTCTAATAGTTACTATGTTGGTGATCAGAGACTTAGACCATTTCCACTATCACAGAAAGCTCTATTGGACAGTGCTACTCTAGATTGTGCATGCCTTTGAAGACAGTGACCATAATATTGAAACTAATAAGGTTCCAAAATTAATAAAATAATATGTCTAGAGAGGTATATTACAGTGGTGGTGTCGGACAAGAAGCAGGATCAAGATTGTTTGGCAAATAGACACAGAGTTTTGTGTTATCTTAGGTGGGTTCTGTTACATTTGAGAAGATTGCATTCTATTTTAAAGAAAGGCATGCATCTAAAATAAATAAAGATATCAGGAATTTAAAACACCATAAAAATCATATAGAACACGTACCTCAAATTTTAATAAATGTGGCCACAGTGAAGTAAATGCATTAGAGAGACAATATCAGATTTTTTCTATCAATCCAAATATCCATAATATCTAGTCTACATTCCTATTCAATATTCTTTAGAAAAAGATTGTTGTAATGGCCTTCAAATGTAAGAATTCTAAGAAATTCTGCACTAATATCAAAGAAATGAGCACATTTATTCTTTACTCATACAATGAAAAATTAAGTTACTGCATTCAATTGAGCTTGAAAATAACACATAAAATTATTGGTTTGATAAAATATACTCCCTCCTTTTCTAAGTCTATAGCCATATAAAGCCATCCAATTTTGCTCAATATATACATTGGCTTTCAATTTAAAGGTTATCCATAAAGTAATATGAATATTCTGCAAGGGAAATAGGCCTGGTACAAAGGAAGGAGCATGGACTTTGGATTCAGACTAACTGGGCTTTCAATCCCAGCTCTGCCACTGACTGACATTATTGTATTGGGAGATATTTAAGTACTCCCAATCTGAGGCCACTGAACTTTACCATACAATTTTTTTTTTTACTGGTATATGGCCTTTCAATACTGAGTTAAAAACCTGCCTTCCAGTGAGCTTTCAGTACTCTCACCACCTAATTATAGCCAAATGACCTGGGATGTCATACTTGAGTTTTTTTGATGAATTTTTTTTTTTTTTTAATCATTGTCTGTCTTTGGATCTTATCCATATTTCTTGGGTAGCAACAGTTACAACTAAGCCAAAGTAATCTGAGCTCTCTATTCTGTTTGTTTTTTGTGTTTTTATGTATATACCATATTGTTTTTATTACTATAGTCTTGAAATAAAGTTTGAAATCTGAAAGTAAAAAAAGAAGACAAAGGACAGTTTTAATGGGTTTTAAGGACAGAGATAGCCTATGCTATTTAGCTTGAGTGTAGCTTAAAATAACACAAAGCTCTCAAAATTAAAAAGAATTTTAGAATAATATGTGCCACTTTATGTGCCAAGAACAGCACCACTGTTTGATTGGGCTGACCTGAAGAACTTTACTGTATAGTAATAACACTCACTACTCTAAGGACCTAGAACATGGTAGAGTTATGTCCACTGGAATGTTATTATGACAGAAGAAGGGATTAACGACATTAATTTGCCTGGTGTTAGGACCCTAAATTATAAGCAGCCCCATTCCAACACACACACACACACACACACAATCTGACTTTTGTTTATTTTGAACCCCTTTACAATGTCTACCTCTTTAACCATCTGATTTGCTTGGCATGACGTAGGGGCATGGAGTGAGCTAGGTAGGTTTCTGAATCCTATGCTTTGACTATACTTAGTTAATCTGTTACCTAAATGAAAGCGTTAGGTTTCTCATCTGTGTAATAGAAAAAAAAAATACTTACCTTGTGTGATTATTTCGTTTTGAAGTTTAAATGAGAAGCAGATGTTCTAAAGATTACTGATGTGATACTTTCTTAGCAAGTATTAATCTTCCCCCTTCCTTACCTTTCTCACATTTATGTTGTGAGGATTCAGTGAACTAATGTCATATATCATGAGAGGTGAAGAGCATAGAATTTGAATCAGATATGAATTCAAATCTTGACCTGCTACTTATCAGCTGTGTGACCCTGGGGTATTATTTCATCTTTTAAAATACTTTAATTTTTAAATTTTAAAATGGGAATAATAACCCTAGTTCATGCAGTTTTTGTGAGGATAATGTAAAATGTATATAAATTTCTCTGGGCTAGACCTGGTGTTTTAAACTGTATTAAAACACTACTCCAGTTACTATCTGTAGTTTCACTTATGTTCAGCTTCTTCGAAGATATCTTCCAAACTAGATAATGAGTTCCTGGAGTGTTAGGAACCAGATTTGACTTTGTTGACTTCTGAAGAACCATTGGCGTAGTGCTAAGTGCATTATGCTCATGTCTGTTCAACTTTTGGCCAGTAGAATAAATGCTTGGGGCTTTTTACCTACTTAACTGTCAGTCACTATCCTTCAGATGGTCAATAGGAACAAAAGGTTTGGCTAAATTATTAATGTAAAGACAGCTGAATCAAATTCATAGGCTAAGTATAATATCCCAGCAATTGTATTGTGTGATTAGAAACTTGTAAATGATTAGTGACAAAAATTCATCTCATATTTGTATAATATTTATCAATTTATCTCATACATAGGCAATATCTACTGTATTGCTTTTTTAAAAAAGTGTGTGTGTGTGTGTGTGTGTGTGTGTGTGGTCTACTATTGTGTCATGTAATGCATGCCCCTGACATATACTGAATGCTCCCTAATGACTTCATGATGACTAGTTTTAAGGAAGAAAATAAAATTTAAAAAAGGAATTGAGCATAAGCAAAGAGGGAAGAAAGGAAAGTAATCAAGACGAGGAGATAGTGAATACCACCAGAGACTGACTTGGTCATTGCTTTCCTAACCTTCATATATGGATCTGTTAGTATAATTATGCAGTTTTTGTTTAAAAATACTATTTTTGTAAAAACATCATAGCTATGACATACTTAAAAATATACTTTTTTTTTTCCTTTTCTTTTCTTTTCTTTTCTTTCTTTCTTTCTTTCTTTTTTTTTTTTTTTTTTTTGAGGCAGAGTTTCGCTCTTATTGCCCAAACTGGAATGCAATGGCACAATCTCAGGCTCACTGCAACCTCCGCCTCCTGGGTTCAAGCAATTCTCCTGCCTCAGTCTCCCAAGTAACTGGGAATACAGACATGCACCACCACACTTGGCTAATTGTGTATGTTTTTTCGTAGAAACAGGGTTTCTCCATGTTGGTCAGGCTGGTCTCGAACTCCTGACCTCCGGTGATTAAGCTACCAAAATTAAGTATTTGGGAGCCTGAAGGATAATTTAAAAATCATGCGCTGTAAGCCAGCCAAGAACAGATAATCTTGGAAATAAATTTTTCCTCAGTATTCTTTAAAATAATAAAATACACTGCAAAAATTTCAAGCATTTCCAAATCTTACTTTGTCATGCAATATTTGCTTATGCAGCAGTGATCTTGTTGATGCTCTGTACAATCTGTCATTTTATGGATTATCCATATGAGGTAGATGCTAACCACTTCTTGATAAGAGAGGCAGAACACAGAAAGTTGAGTGGTTTGTCTTGGTTTCTAACAAAATAATAAACAATCAGAATAAGATTTTTATGGTGTGGGTTCTCCTGCATGATTTATCATTTTGAACTTTTTATGTGGTTCTGTCTATGGAGAAATTGAAAAGTGAGCAGATTTAGGGACTGATTGCTGTATATACATTATTTTCAGACCATAAGAGAGACAAACTTCCAGTTCCAGTTATTTCTGTTTAACATTTCTCTGCAAATAAGCAAGTCTTGTTTTATCCAGGCTTGGCCAAGTTAAATATGATCCCTGTATTTTTCCCTTATGTTTGGAGATCTAGCAAAATATTCATCATTATACTGTTTATTGAAGTGAAAGCTTGTATGCGATTGTATGAATGCCTAATAGTCTTGAAGTAAAGGCGGTCAAATTCAGTAATGCTTGGAGAGACTGCATGTATTCTTCTCTACCATATATTTATAGCATTTGTTTGCAGGGCCAACATTTTTGTTTTGGTCCTGTAGAAAAGAATTTCTTAAAATGTTTTAAGATTTTTCAATTTCTCCTTAACATAATACATAAGCAACACTTTTTAGATAAAAGCTGTGTAAAGTTCAAAAAAAAAAAAAAAAAAAAGAAAAACGTTATTTTCTTTTACCGTGTCCCCTGATCTCAAATCTTTTTATTTCTCTGTTTGTTTGTTTTAAATTTAATTTTAGAGGGCTGCTGAAGTATCAAACTAATTTAGATACCCACCCTCCCGGCTGCATCAATCTTAACCGAACCAGCTCTCAGAATATTTCCTTACCAGAATATTTCTCAGAACATTTTCATGAACCTTTCCCTGAAGAATTTTCAAAACCAGAAGAGTTTACCCAGAACACATTTGTGAAGATTTGTATGGAAGAGCCCAGATTCCAAGCTAATTTTCCACAGGTCAGATTAATTTTGTGTTTGATCTCCACAAAGTTTGTTTCCATTTGACTGATCAACATCACATATAAACGTTGTTTTCAAACTATATATTCATGCATAATAGGATATTTCAGGATGTTTCAATAGTAAGTTAGTACCTATTATTCCATTACAGGTACCTGACAGTTCAATGCAAAAGATCTATGATATTAGAGGATATATAACATTTCTACTTAACTGATCATATGACCTTTGCATACAACAGCATTGGTGCTTGCAGTCAAGAGATGACAAATATTTTTCCCATCAGTTGAGAGAAGCTGATTGAATAATAAAAATAGTAGTAAAAAAAATCTGCTACTACTACCACAAATTATTATTTTATTGTATTATAATATTGTGTATAATATTGTAAATAGTAAATAGCAAAATCAATTTATTGAATGCTTAATATTATCTGCTAGGCATTGTGCTAAAATGTCCTGTATGCCTAATACAGAACATTTATTAGACATACAGAATGTTTCTTACAATATTCACAATGACTATTTGAAGTAATTAATATCATCCTCGATTTTCTGATGAAGAAATTGTGTTTACCTTGATCAAAGTCTCCAAACTAGTAAGTGGCAGAGCAAGCACGTAAACCCAGGTCTTTGACTAATATGCTTGCTCCTGGTAAATGTCCATAAGTATTCAGCAATTAGTTCAATCAGGGCCCTTATCTTCCTCTGTGCCTGTGGGAACTGCCCCCGTGCAAATTACACCATTTATTCTTCATAAAAAGTGGAAGTAGGAAACAGTGATGTCAAATGTCTCTATTAGGAAGAGAAGAAAGAAAAGTCAAAAGGTAGAATGAATTTCTAGATGACTTTGGAATAGTGTATTAGTCTTGTGTTTGTTATTATTAATAATAATCCTCTAGATCTCTATTAGCCTCTATAATTTTCAGAACTTTTCTGAGTTTCACATAATATTCACAAATATTAGACAGGGCAGGTATGGTGACTCCCGTTTTGCTCACATAGGACCTGATACTCAAGGGGTAAGTGATTGTCTCAAAGGTACGAGGCTGCTACATTGCAGACCTTGTCTTGCAATGCTACTCATAACACAGTGTGGAGCTAAATGTTATTATATGCAGAAGAGGCATGATCTGTCTGCATGAAAGAAGGAAGATTTGAAACAACTAAAGTGAGACTTGAAAAAGTGACCATTAAGACAAGTTTTAGTTGGAGGCCTCAAAGGGATGTGAGAGATAAAGTGTGTAATTTTAGGAGAACGGTAAGCCCCACAGGCTTCTGCACTTCCCAGGGTTTGCACGTATCCTGGGAACAGGGTTAACCATGCAGCACATATTCAAAATTGTCATGGTTTCCAAATTATAAATATTATTTTATGTTCTTATTATATAGAAGTAAGTGGTAAACAACATGCCTAGAATAGTGCATTTTTAAACACATATGCTATACATGTTTAACATATGTATACATATTATATGTATGTATCTTATGCATGTATTTTAGGTACATTAAAAATCTAGGGTTTTCTTATTTAATAAACTTTAGACAGTTACTTTATTTCTAAAATTATCCCCAGGTTCATCTGAGATTGTTAACTCCCCTTTATTCTTTTATTAAATATATTGTTTCTATGCCTACAGATATGTAATATATCTGTATATAGGTATAGGAAAGAATATACACTTATTTGTTCATGGTAGTTACATCCAGAGCATGACATTGAGGGTAGGGTCTTGATATTACTTTCTGTTTTGTTTTATACTTTTGTTTGTTTGAATGATAGTGAGCATCTATTATTTTTTATTCATTTATTATGTTTTCTTATTTAAAATACAAATTAAATACTACTACTGTAATGTATGCAATAAGCAATTGGGCCGGGTGTAGATTTCTACAATATGAGTATTTCTTGAAGTATATTTTCAAAAATTTATCTTAGACTTGGCTTTGGATTTCTGGACCTTTGTGCCTGTACTGTGCCGAAAGACTTTACAGGTATATCCGGAGCAATAAGCCAGTCACCATCATTTCAGTCATAAGTCATCCCTCAGATGTCATGGAAATCCGAATGGTCAAAGAAAATTTTAAAGCAAGACCTGGTCAGGTGAGTCAGTGGTCAGTAACTTTTTAAATAGCCTTTATCCTTATGTAATTTTTGGAATTTAGCAAACATAGCATCATTGAGATAGTTGAAATTCTTAATTGGTCATTTAAAACTTATCTCTTTGTTGCTTTTTAGTATATTATTCTACATTGTCCCAGTGTATCTGCATTAGAAAATCATCCATTTACCCTCACAATGGTAAGAAATGTATCTCTTGCTTTTTCACATTTGTAGGGTGCTATGCATCTTTTTCTTTTTTTGTGGGTTCTATCTCATTCTAAAAGGTGTTCAAGGCTATCATAGTATTCTTGATGTTTAAGTAAGCCATCTTTTTACAAGGAAAATAGTTATCTGCTCAAGAACTTGGTAACTATTCTTTATTATTTTTTGGCACCTTACATTTCAGGAAGTAATGAATTAAAGCATATTAAAGCTTGTTGATTCAAAATGTAGGCCAAGCACAGTGACTCGTGCCTGTAATCTCAGCACTTTGGGAGGTCAAGGCAGGAAGACCACTTGAGCCCAGGATTTCAAGATCAGCCTGAGCAACATAAGGAGAACTCATCTCTACAGTAAATTAAAAAAAAAAAAAAAAAGCCAGGTGTGGTGATACACACCTGTAGTCCCAGCTACTAGGAAGGCTGAGGCAGGAGGATTGCTTGATCTCCCGTGTTTGAGGTTTCACTGAGCCTTGATCACACCACTGCTCTCCAGCCTGGGCAAGACAGTGAGACCTTGTCTCAAAAAAGAAATATATATATCTTTCTATATATATCTATATTTGTCAATATATAGATATATATAATTTCTTGAATATTTACTTTTCTCCTTTTATAGAGTATTTTAATGTATATGGAAATCATATTTGCACAGTTTTCTTTAGAGATGCAATTTAGGGGAAATACAGATACTCTGGGTTGAGGTGGAAGCATTAAACGAAACAGTCAGTGTTTAGAAAAGGTAAATCTAGTGTAATGGGAGAGAGAATGGGAAGTAAAATTAGAAAAATCAAATAGAGTAAATAATGGCATGTGGGTGGGGAGCATCTAGCTAAATAATGGAGACCATCAAATGTGATTAGCTAATCAGCATATCATTTAATATTATTATAAAAATAACATGAACTCATTATAAATATTTAGACAATTCACAGATATAAAATAAAACAGAGACTTAAAAAAATTGTTCCCCACTTCCCAATCCTTTTCTCTACAGTTTGACATATATCTTTACGGATATTTTCCCATATGCTTCTGCATACATGAGTTTCTAACATTTGTTTGCTGGATCATATTGTTTTGTAACTGGCTCCTTGCACTTGACTACATATGATGGACATCTTCCCATATTACTGTACATGTCTCATTCATGTTAATGACTGTATAATATTCCACAGTAGGAAAATACTGTAATTTATTTAATATTCTCATTGATGATGGATATTTGGACTTTATTCAATTTCTAAGAAATATAATTGAGAACAGAGACCACATGTTTAAATGTATACCTAAGAAAGATAGCAAAACTATTATATATATGTTGTAAAACATATTCCCATCTGTCTGCATCTATACATCCCATATATATGAAATTGGTAACATGAAAATAGAAGGGAATAATTGAAAAGGGAGAAAATATACAAGTAAGTTTGTCTTTACTTAAATAATTTAAGAAATTTGGCCTAATCCTGGGTTCATAAGAAATTTACTTCAGATTGCCCTGGCCAGAACTTCCAACACTACGTTGAATAGGAGTGGTGAGAGAGGGCATGACTGTCTTGTGCCAGTTTTCAAAGGGAATGCTTCCAGTTTTTGCCCATTCAGTATGATATTGGCTGTGGTTTTGTCATAAATAGCTTTTATTATTTTGAGATAGGTTCCATCAATACCCAGTTTATTGAGAGTTTTTAGCATGAAGGGCTGTTGAATTTTGTCAAAGACCTTTTCTGTGTCTATTGAGATAATCAAGTGGTTTTTGTCTTTGGTTCTGTTTATGTGATGGATTATGTTTACTGATTTGCATATGTAGAACCAGCCGTGCATCCCAGGGATTAAGCCGACTTGATCTTGGTGGATAAGCTTTTTGATGTGCTGCTGGATTCAGTTTGCCAGTAATTTATTGAGGATTTTCGCATCAATGTTCATCAGGGATATTGGTCTAAAATTCTCCTTTTTTGTTGTGTCTCTGCCAGGCTTTGGTATCAGGATGATGCTGGCCTCATAAAATGAGTTAGGGAGGATTCCCTCTTTTTCTATTGATTGGAATAGTTTCAGAAGGAATGGTACCAGCTCCTCTTTGTACCTCTGGTAGAATTTGGCTGTGAATCCGTCTCGTCCTGCACTTTTTTTGGTTGGTAAGCTATTAATTATTGCCTCAATTTCAGAGCCTGTTATTGGTCTATTCAGAGATTCAACTTCTTCCTGGTTTAGTCTTAGGAGGGTGTATGTGTCCAGGAATTTATCCATGTCTTCTAGATTTTCTAGTTTATTTGCATAGCGGTGTTTATAGTATTCTCTGATGGTAATTTGTATTTCTGTGGGATCAGTGGTGATACCCCCTTTATCATTTTTTATTGCATCTATTTGATTCTTCTCTTTTGTTCTTTATTAATCTTGCTAGTCGTCTATAAATTTTGTTGATCTTTAAAAAAAAAAACAGCTCCTGCATTCATTGATTTTTTGAAGGGTTTTATGTGTCTCCGTCTCCTTCAGTTCTGCTCTGATCTTAGTTATTTCTTGCCTTCTGCTAGTTTTTGAATTTGTTTGCTCTTGCTTCTCTAGTTCTTCTAATTGTGATGTTAGGATGTCAATTTTAGATCTTTCCTGCTTTCTCTTGTGGTCATTTAGTGCTATAAATTTCCCTCTACACACTACTTTAAATGTGTCCCAGAGATTCTGATATGTTGTGTCTTTGTTCTCATTGGTTTCAAAGAACATCTTTATTTCTGCCTTCATTTCATTATTTACCCAGAAGTCATCCAGGAGCAGGTTATTCAGTTTCCATGTAGTTAAGCAGTTTTGAGTGAGTTTTTAAATCCTGAATTCTAGTTTGATTGTGCTGTGGTCTGAGAGACAATTTGTTGTGATTTCTGTTCTTACACATTTGCTGAGGAGTGTTTTACTTCCAACTATGTGGTCAACTTTTGAATAAGTGTGATGTGGTGTGAGAAGAATGTATATTCTGTTGATTTGGGGTGGAGAGTTCTGTAGATACCTATTAGGTCCAGTTGGTGCAGAGCTGAGTTCAATTCCAGAATATCCTTGTTAACCTTCTATCTCATTGATCTCTCTAATATTGACAGTGGGGTGTTAAAGTCTCCCACTATTATCGTATGGGAGTCTAAGTCTCTTTGTAAGTCTCTAAGGACTTGCTTTATGAATCTGGGTGCTCTTGTATTGGGTGCATATATATTTAGAATACTTAGCTCTTCTTGTTGCATTGATCTCTTTATCATTATGTAATGACCTTCTTTGTCACTCTAGATCTTTGTTGGTTTAAAGTCTGTTTTATCAGAGACTAGGATTGCAACCGCTTGCTTTTTTTTTTTTTTTTCTTTCCATTTGCTTGGTAGATCTTCCTCCATCCCTTTATTTTGAGCTCATGTGCATCTCTGCACGTGAGATGGGTCTCCTGAATACAGCACACTGATCGGTCTTGACTCTTTATCCAGTTTGCCAGTCTGTGTCTTTTAATTGGGGTATTTAAAGGTATTCAATTAGGAAAAGAGAAAGTCAAATTGTCCCTTTTTGCAGATGACATGATTGTATATTGAGAAAAGCCCATCATCTCAGCTCAAAATCGCCTTAAGCTGATAAGCAACTCCAGAAAAGTCTCAGGATACAGAATCCATGTGCAAAAATCACCAGCATTCCTATACACCAATTACAGACAAACAGCAAACCAAATCATGAGTGAACTCCCATTCACAGTTGGTACAAAGAAAATAAAATATCTAGGAATCCAACTTACAACAGATGTGAAGGACCTCTTCAAAGAGAACTACAAAACCACTGCTCAATGAAATAAGAAAGGGCACGAACAAATGGAAGAAGATTCCATGCTCATGGATAGGAAGAATCAATATCATGAAAATGTCCATACTTCCCAAGGTAATTTATAGATTCAATGCCATCCCCATCAAGCTAACTATGACTTTCTTCACAGAATTGAAAAAAAACTACTTAAGTTCATATGGAGCCATAAAAGAGCCTGTATTGCCAAGACAATCCTAAGCAAAAAGAACAAAGCTGGAGGCATCACGCTACCTGACTTCAAACTATACTACCAGGCTACAGTAACCAAAACAGCATGGTACTGGTACCAAAACAGAGATATAGACCTATGGAACAGAACAGAGGCCTCATAAATAACACCACACATCTACAACCATCTGATCTTTGACAAACTTGGCAAAAACAAGAAATGGGGAAAGGATTCCCTATTTAATAAATGGTGCTGGGAAAACTGGCTAGTCATTTGTAGAAAGCTGAAACCGGATCCCTTCCTTACACCTTATACAAAAATTAATTCAGGATGTATTACAGGCTTAAATGTTAGACCTAAAACCATAAAAACCCTAGGAGAAAACCTAGGCAATGCCATTCAGGCCATAGGCATGAGCAAGGACTTCATGACTAAAACACCAAAAGTAATGGCAACAACAGCCAAAATTGACAAATGGGATCTAATTAAAGTAAAGAGCTTTTGCATGGCAAAAGAAACCACCATCAGAGTGAACAGGCAACCTACAGAATGGAAGAAAATTTTTACAATCTACCCATCTGACAAAAGGCTAATAACCAGAATCTACAAAGAACTTAAACAAATTTACAGGAAAAAAATCAAACAACCCCAAGTGGGCAAAGCATATGAACAGACACTTCTCAAAAGAAGACATTTATGCCGCCAACAGACACATGAAAAAATGCTCATCACTGGTCATCAGAGAAATGCAAATCAAAACCACAATGAGATAGCATCTCACACTAGTTAGAATGATGATAATTAAAAAGTCAGGAAACAGCTGATGCTGCAGAGGATGTGGAGAAATAGGAACACTTCTACACTGTTGGTGGAAGTGTAAACTACTTCAACCATTGTGGGAGACAGTATGGCGATTCCTCAAGGATCTAGAACTAGAAATACCATTTGACCCAGCAATCCCATTACTGGGTATATACCCAAAGGATTACAAATCA